CCTCTAAGTTTGCTCAGGATAGACCAAGTTGACTGTGGGGATTCAAAGGAGAAGTGTTCTTAGCACGAGCACTAAGCTATAGTAACTCATGTGCATGAAGCTGTTTGTGGGGTTAGTTTGACCATGTCGATCTAGAAACTGGGTCAATGCACTGAGCTGCCTGTGTAAAAGCTAACCCCAGCAATCCTGGAAAGAAAGGGTGGGAAGGGTCAACGGCTCTGTGGTGGGAAAGGCAGAAGTTGCACCTTGGGCAGAGAGGGAAAAGGAGGCTGATGCTGATGGCATGCAGCATTGCTTCCTGCCATTAGTGAGTGGCCCCCCTGAGAGGAGGTACGGACTCTCCTTTTGGGAGTAATCAGCTAGGTAATAATTTATGCGTACACAATCTGTTACTGAGGACACGGTAACTTTCCCAAGCCTAAGATAAACATGCCAGGAGAGGCGCAAGCTGCATGTGAAGATAGATAAATGCCATGAACACTTTCCATTTGGGCATACGGAACTTGAAACATCCACTTCAAAGTGTCCTGGAGAGCTGTGGACAAGTGAGCATCCTTTTATGTTTAGTTTTGCTTCTGCTGGGTGATAAACACCTGTTTCATTGCTAGTAACAGAACAAGGTCTCCATCTCATTTTATGTAGCAAAATTAGGACAGTGTATTGATCTCCAAGGCTATTTATCATTATATTGGGTTTAGAACTTGGCTCACCAGGTAGGGAGGGGGACCTGGGCTCCACATGACATAGCTCCTTTCAATGTTACACTCTGTTGATGAAGGTGGCAGCTCTGCAGAGCTATGAATGCATAAGTTTGTTTGTTTCTTTTCCCCCTGGATTTTACCAAATTCTGAAATGAGCAGCTGGAGCCAATGTTTTTGCCTCCAAACACTAACCTAAGATTGTTAAGCCTGAAACAGGAGGTTACTTGAGATCCCTTCCAGCTTCATATCTCCCATGCTTTTATGAGTCTATCACCTTGGTTCAGCACAAGCTTTTAAGGGATGACTTAATTAACTGAAAATATTTTTCATGTGTCTTTTTTTTTTAAAGGATGCTACTAGGTAGCAAAATTATTGTCAGGATTGCCACCACAGCTCTGAGGCCCAGCTCCGCAGGAGGAAACTGTAACCCTGAACTCACCGGAACTGCCAGGAGTCAATGGGCTGGCTCCTGGTCTCCCTCCTGGGGTATTCAGCTGCCAGAGGAGATGGAGGCTAGGAGCTGTAAGACTCTGGGACTCCCCAGCACCTTGTCAGGCAGCTTAGTGGAAAACCAGGCAAGTTTCCACATGGGTCTGCCTGGGCTCTGCCAAAATGTTGTTGCAATAACACATTTTCAGTGAAACTTCCACTGAAATTTAAAGTCAAGGGAATGGAAATTTTCCACCTATAGCACCAATAGATCTCTTAGTAAGTAATTGCTGACTAGCTTTCATGACTACTATGTCAGCCACTGAGAACTAGCCAAGCATACTAGGGTTTACTGAACATTAACGTCATAGCCAGCTGCTTTGTGGCTTATCTAGGCCTGCTGCCCTTCCCTCAAATAGATGTTGTTTAACATCACCTTTGATTATTTATGGACTAGGGAAGACTTTGCTCTCTAATAAGTGTCTCTTTGCTCTCTAGTAAATGTCCCTTGTTCTGCCTCTTTCCAAATCCAGAGCTGAAATATTCATTCATTACTTCTAGGCTGGTTTTTTTTTCATTGCTTTCTTTTTTTGTCCTTGAAGACATACCTTTTCCTTTTCTTTAACTCCCCTTATTCACTTGCCACAATTTTAATCATTTGATTAAAACAACCTCCTGCCACAAGAAATTTGTAGCTCAAGAACCATCAAGACAGAGCAAAGCAGATGCTGCAGGGAATTAGGGATACCTCACCAGAAGGGAAGATGAAAATCAGGTAGCATGTTTGTGTCATAGGTGTCAAGACAGTGTCTGGGTCTGCAATGCCTCCCTCATTAGTGGGCAGGTTGCAAATGCTGGCTGGGTCTGCAAGCATGGCTCTCACATGAGTTCATCAGCGCTGGAGCAACGTGTAGACCAGTGTATTTTGGGCTACAATTATACACAAGACAAATATGTAACAGCAGGAAAACTTACAGCTGCAATGATAGGAAGTATTTATACAGAGCAGTACCATCTGGTGTGCGCTCCTAATAGTGACTATACTTAGCTGCTATACTGTGTATCCCAGCTAATTCCACGCTCCAAAGAATGAGGCATTCAGTATCTTAAGCAGATAACCCCACACTTTTAATGCCAACCATTCTCTACACGGTGATGTCTATGCTGCTCCATGAATAGATACAAAACAGAGTATGCAAAAGGGTTATTATATGAAGGGGCTGCCATCTTGCTCCTCTGCAGATATATATACATAAATTTGTCTCTTAAAAGAGAATGCAGTTTAGTGGTGCTCATGTTAAGGCTTTGGCTGTTTGACTCCGCTTGATTAAAAAAAAAAAAATAAAAATAAAAATCCTTCTCCTGCTACCCTAAAACAGAAGACAAAATTAAAAGATCTACACTCTTTGAAAAATTCATTTATTATACATCCATGAATGATTTTGTAATAAAAATCCTCAAAAGGCCTATTGTTAACATTACAAAATGAAAAAGAAACTCCAACATCCACTATTCCCAGCAGTGCTAATAAGTTAGTGTGCAATACTATCCTTACGCTCGGTGTGCACAGCAGCTGCATATTGCTGTGACCAACATACTTTAACTTGAAACACTGACATTTTACAGACTACATCTATTTTGGACACCAACAGTTTTGTGCCATAAAAAGGCAGTAAGTTATGCCATTGTTCCATAGTTTTTCTGTTACTTTTCTTGAGGTCATCTATGTTTTAGGTGGGCTATGTGAATTCCTAAGTCTCTACACACAGCTGCAGTCACTGTATGTGCTTTTGATCTGAACCAAGAATTAGTTACCTTTCAGTTCTTCCCTACATGTAACTCAATAATGGTAACAGGAAGAGAGAGGGGTGGGCATGTTACTATTAACTCTAGTCCATGTTAAAGGTGTCTTCATTAATAATGCAGCATATTTTGTATTAGTCTGCTTAGAACAGACCAAAAGATTATTAGCACCTTTTCCTTTTATAAATGCAAAATATTTATGAGGAAGTGTGCCCCAGTATATTAAGGATACAGTACTCAGATGAGCATAAAATACTGCTCAGAAAGATATCAGTTGGCATTGAATGTATGTTTGATATGCTTTTCCAACTCACCTTTAAGCGTGCACAGTTATACACACACACATTTATACACGAGCACATGCACACAGGAGTGAGCAGAAACAACTTTTGTGTGCTTTATGGTTTTCCAAGTTCGCAGGTGTGTACTCCACAGATTTCTAAGTTGGAAAACGCAAACTCCAATTACACCAGCCTGGATTTGTGTAAGTGTGTTAGAACCAACAGTCGCACCTTCCCACGCGTTCCCTCTGCAATGGAGTTACCATGACTTCTCTGACTATTTTTCCCTGGTGTGTACAGAGAGCATATGTAGTGGGTACTCCGCAGCAGAGCCAGAATCACAGACTGGAGAGCACTGCATGTTAATTAAGCATCCATATAACACAGAACTTCACCTTTTCTTTCTTTCTTGTACAGCTGCATAGCACGATAACACTTGAGATTGTCATTAATGTCTTTTCCTTTGCATACCTTAGCTTTATGTATGTTGTTGAAATGCAAGCATATGCATAGACAAGCTAGGGTATAGCAACTGAGCAAGTTACCCAAATTTATGGTGTACGAGAGCAATACAGAACTTTGAGGGCAAGTATTAAAACTTCTCAAGAGGAAAACATCTCACAAATTATTGTAACATAAGTAGTAAACAACTGTATGTTTTATGCAGGTAACAGAGCTTGCTACAGGTATATTTCAAACACTGATGAATAAAAATAAACCTTCTACAAACCCACTAATCCAATATGTTTTCTTCAAGACAATACTAAGTGTGTGGCTATGAAAACAGAGTGACACATAAAAAATTTTCAAAAATCATTTACCACAGGGTAACATTTTTATAACTAGAGGAAAACAAACCAAAAAAAAGTACATAAATACATATCTTTTTATATATAGCAAATTACAGTTTCCTGCACTGAACATTTGTCAAATACACAAGTACTGAACAATACTGGACAGGGTGCTTTGCTGCACCTTGTGGTCTCCTTAAATTCCCATGAGAATGGAAGACAAGTTTCTATGGAGGATACAACTTGTTCAGTTATGAAAGCTCACACAAGAATTAAAAAAGTAAAGGAAACCAAAAACCCCACAGCAGAAATGCCTGACGTTTCCAGCACAGGCATCTTTAACAACAAAACACGAATGCTCAACTGCTCTTCAAGCACACATCCCAGCACAGAGTCTGTGCCAGAGAGCTTTAATCAGACCACAGCCGTCACCTGCTAAGGGTGATGAATTTGGGCAACAAATGTGATGCTCGGCTTTGTCCACTGGCTTGTCACAGCCATCATTTTTCTGATAGGTTGGTAGGGAGCAGTCACCTTTCCGATCCCCTACAGAAACCATACCCCTTCTCTTGGACCTGGGCAGCCACTCCCGAGCTTCAGACAGAAAACAAGGCCTAAGCTGTTTTTCTGGCTATTGCCTTTCCAGGTCTATAAGAACTGTAGTTGTTAGCATGATGGGGAAGTTTGAAAAGGCTGACACCAAGCTATTTTTGAGGATTATGTACACAGTAATTTTGGTTTTGAAAACAGAAAACATCCACACCACACATTTCATTTCACCTGGCCAGAAATGCTATGTTCAGGTTCCTAATGCATAAATAATGATCCTTAGTGAAAATGATGACACAGACTTCATTGGGTTCTAGTGACCTTACCAGAAACTGTCTTCAAAATACTGCAGTTACTAGCTAGGAATAACAGTCCCATTTAGGTGTCCTTTGGAGCACACAATACAAATATTTATTGTATAAAAAGCACTCAGTTTTCTCCACAGGTTAGTGATGTCTGGAACTTGGGGGATTGTAAATCCAGTCCATTACAATAAGAGTCATACTCACAATCATGAAGATCATGCCAACTATGAGAAAAATTAGAGCCTGCAATTAGAAAATAAAATTTTATTAATAAAGCAAGTAGTTCAGACTGTAGTTCACAGACTATCCCACTGGAACTCCATTTGGTAACACTCAGGGCCTGAGTTTGGGTCATTCTCTGTGACTGAAGCCCAAGTAGTATCATACAGGGCTATGTGAATCAAAGTTACTCTTGTGTGAATTTCAGTCCAAGAAAGCCAGGCTTTACAAGACTAGACCTGAAAACCCCCCCCCACTTTGTAACTACAAACAATAATACAAAACATAATACAGAACAGTTAGGTTTTTTTTCTTTAAAAACTGACCAGTTACCAATGAGCATTCATTGTCTCTGCTATCAAGACCAGCTTCAGAGTTAATCCTTTTTACCCTCATAAGACAAACAGGCAAGCCTATCTCTCTACTCTGAAGGCATTTCTGTATTATGCAAGTGATTCAGATGCTTATAGTCACCCTTTGCTTTAGCAGGGCTTTAGTGTACTGTAATCTGTCCACACTCAACAATATTCTGCCTCGCAACACAAAGATGAATATTGTGTGGTATCTCAGCACACGGTGTGAAATTCTAGATGTGCCTAACACAGAACAACATGAAAAATGAACAGAGACATGAACAAATATTCAGTCTTTCTATGATAACAGGTCCAAAAGTAATCATCAGAAATAATTTTATGATAACAACTGGGGTTTTTTTATACTTGCAGTACATATTGGTTGAACTTCCATGTTTTAGTGAACATGTAGATAGATATATATATGTAAATTTGTTTAGATTATGTACCTGCACATATATTTCATCAATAGCTTTCTGATTAAATTTTCAAAGGGCATCCCCTTGGTGATACTGTTAAATGTGCAGATACCTATTGATGTTCAGGATGAAAGGTACTGTTGCAGCAGTCCAGCATGATGTATAAACACATGCTATGTATAAATGATAGACCTTCATGTATGTCTCCTGTAGGTATATGGATCTGTCTCAGTGGAGCACTCAGTATTACTTAATTATCTCTGCAGAAAAACTTCCTTCTTAACCTTGACCTCAAATCTTCCTGTTAATCCACAGCTGGCCTTACGGTGTGAACCAGCAGCTCCTTATACACTGTCTTGATGTTATTTAAGCAAGGGAGGTGTTGGTTAGAGCTTAGACTGGATTAAATGCCTTTTACTAGTGATTTAAGGAACACTTTAATGTAGACACTTACTGCTGTGTGTCAGTAGCAGTAGGGCACCAGAGACTTTGGCTTGTAAAACCTGGCTCTCCAAGCCAAGGTAGATCGCACTGCCTGACCTATATTTTGAGCAAGATACTACTATTTACGAGCAACTGCCAGATATTGCAAGTCAAATGTCTGAGCATTTGTGACCAGTGGAAATCACACACCCTCCCATCCTTCCTTTTGCAGTTGCTGCCAGCTCCCTTACCCCGATTTTCTGGGGAGACCTCAGGGGCTCCTTCTCAACAAGCCGCAAGTAGAAGGCAGCAGGGAGGATGAAAATCAGCAATGTAGCAGAAGACGCACCTAGAAGAGAAAGCAGAGCTGAGCATCGTGTCGTCTAACACATAAGCAACATGGTACACCTGCAACAGAGAGTATGTGGGGAGGCAGCTGCTCTTCCAAGCCCAGCTGCACAAAGGACTCTTTCTGTAGACAGCATTCATGCAGAGCTGTAGGTCTCCAAACACTTATTTGGGTGCTTGGGGCCCAAAGAAGCACTTATTACTGAGAGGATTTGTTCAAACCAGTGTGGCTGCCTGTGTTATAGATGTCTGCATGTGAGCTGGTGAAGTGAAGACAATCAGATAATCCAAGGCACTGGAAAGCAGGTGTCAAAAAGAAGGTGGACTATCTGTGCCCTCTAAGTGGCTGCTACTCTCCTTGCAGCAGAACCCATCACTGTGGCCCTGGTGTAAATGTCAGGGAGGAGCAAAGTGGTTGCCTGAGTTGAGTATAAAACATGAAAAAGGCAGAAACCCCATGGAGGTGCCTTTCTCAAGGGCATCTACAAGCCCAAGTCCTCCAGCAGCTCAGAGCATGGAGACTCTTCATGGTCCTCTTTGATTGGAAGCCAAAACTGACCAAAAGAAGGAGTTAGGGAGAGAACTGGGAACATCAAAAGAAATGTGTTATGTTTCTCCTTTTCTAACAGCACAGTCAATGCATTTTGTCCAGGCTATAGATGCTTGAAGCTGAAGCTGATTTCCCTTTCTTCCACATGCCCCAATGCCTTTTTTGTCAAAATGAGAACTTCTTACCAGTTTTTATAGAGGGATTATTGGACTCCTTATTCCTATTGCCTCATGCAAGGTAGCAACAATGTTGGGTAGTGGTTTAGCTTTGTCTGTCAGCTGTTTAGGATTTTTTAAATTTTTTTTTTAATCTTTAACCTGTCTTTATATTACTCTACTGTAAGACCCAAACCGAGACTGTCATTCAATCCATGAATGTAAATATGTTGTGGACAGTATTAACAGAGTGACTAAAAAGTGTTTATGAAACCTACCAATAAATCCAAAGATGTCTTTAATCGTTGGGACAAAAATTACGAGCAGGTTATTAAAAGCAAGAATTACTGCTGCAATCAGGAAATGTCTTATCCAGCTGAAAGGTCTTTTAGGAAACAGCAGTGCACTGACAGATGAGCGGATCTGTAAAGGAAAAGCAGTGGGGAAAGTTAAACAACCATTATTTTATCACTGTTTTTCACTTAAGTGATCTATCTATGCTAGTTACTTTTGCTGTGAGAAATTCTGACTGAAGAAATGTGTTTTCAGTCTTTGATTCCCTTAATGTAATCTCACTCTGATGAAGGTTTTTGAGAACTGGGTTCACAATTTAATGCAGAAACAAATATTTGCAGTGTAGAAGAAAGTCAAGTAAATAGGGTGTAAAATCAGGGACATGAAATCTGTTCAACCGAAAGATGCTAATATCAGTGAATAAAACCCCAAAGAAATCCCTACTATGAATACTAATCAGCAGGGAAAAAATGCATGGGTGAAATATGAGTTGCCGTATTCTTAAATCTGATCCCTCTGAAAATCCCACAGGAGTGGTGTTGTTTATTTTTGTGAGGAAAGAGCAAGCTGCTGTTTTACTTTCATTAAATATATACAAATATATATTTTCTCTCAAACAAAAAACATGTTTTTCAATGATGCTTGGAAATTATAATCCTAAAAGCTACTGCAGAAGATCCTTCTTGCTCCTCTGACTTTCTCACACGGAGAGATTTTTCTGCTTTTTCATCAGCAAAGATGGTAAGTAGGAAAAAGGTCATGAGCAAATCCCTTTGGTGGCTGGAGGTAGCGTTACTGTGAAGTACCGTGATTAATTTAAAAGATCTGAAATGTAGAAGTTGAACAAAAATGATTTTACACTGAAAAAAGCTGAAACCTCATTTCTGTTTCGTTGTTTTAAAATAACAGACAACTCTTTCTGGCTGAGTTTGGTAATTCAGTTGAGGTTCTGTCAGATGGGAAAACACAGTGTGAATTTTGCAGTTTATATTTTTTCAGCTTCATGTGAGCCAATATTAGGAAGAGGGAGACAAGCTGCAAAAATTTTGTCCAGCCCCTGGGTTGGTGTAAACCAGCTTTATTCCACCAAAGAACTGCTGCCTGCATTCCTGTTCACTTATTGTCAGCATCTTGTGCTTGATATAGTCCTTAAAATGAAGCTATCAAACTTAAGTTTACTGTGACTAATGGTACATAGATCGATATTTAATAATTTTAATTTTTTTTAGCAGTACAGTGACTCTTTTTTTAAATAAACTCTGACTACTATAAGAAAATACAAATGTGGCAGTTCATAAAAAAAGTATGATACAACTATACTGCTTATTTGAAGTAATGAAGTAACTAGATCGGCTGAGCTGGCTGTGCCAATAGGCCGTATAAAATTGAATGCTGGTTTACAAGTAAATGATATTTTCTTGGCAGGATTTTTAACAGAGTGATTAGTGTTGTAGTATGAAACCACTAAGCCTTTACACACTATTTCAGATATAAATATGATTATACAGAAAGCTAAAAATGCAAAATGCTACATCTGACAGTGGCTTTTGCAATGGCCTTAGATTGTTTTCCCATGAAGGCGATCCGTTAGTTAAGACTAAGCATGTAGGCACTGGTTTAAACACACACTTAAAGCAGAGCACCAGAGCACTTTAAGCTAAATGGACTGATCACAATGGGTGTTATATACCAGAACTTCTGGGTTTTGTTTTGTAGACAACCTTGAACAGTGATCACTGCTCTTAGGTATTTGTCAGCAAGCCTGGAAACAGTACCTAAGCCGAGCTCATGTTTGCATCCAGGACAACGGAGCAACAGGACCCAGGGTTACTGCTCTCATCAGATAGGAACACTACAGTATGACGCAGATTTCTGGGAGCCCGCTGGCAGCATGATGCTGGGCTTGTATGTGCCATACAAATGGCACACTAGCCTCCCAAAACTTAATGACCAGGACCAACTATTTTCTCCCTTGCTGCATAGCAGCTCAGGGAAGGCACAAGAGGCAGTCCTATACATTCAGGAGCCTGGAGGGCTGCTCTTCAGTTAAGGTTTGATTCTTGAGCAGGGTCAGTCTCTCTGCAGAGCACTTTGTTTAGCTGCATCTTTCTCTGCCTGCTACTGTTGATAATTGTGTTTTAATCTGTGAACTGCATCTAGAAAGTCCAAACATTGCTCAGGCACCTGACTACATGGCTGAGGCTCTACTGCCTTTGTTTTCCAGTACTTAGTTTTATGTCCTGTCCATAGACTCAAGTATGTAAGATATCCACATCATGGCCTCTGCCTCTCTACCTTGGCAGCTAGGTCTGGCAGTGCTGCACAGCACGTAGCCTAAGCTGCGTGTGTCTGTCTTGAGTTTGGATGCTATAGTAGGTGCCTGTGTCTGTATTAGGAAATCTTGTAAGTATATCCCCAAGTCTTTGATACTTACCCTGCTGCTTTAATAAATATAGTACAGAGAGATCCAGAGAAAGCCAGGGCAGTTGTTCCTGATTTATTGCTGATTTATTTAGAGAGACTGATTTATTTAGAGAGACTGATTTATTTAGAGAGACTGATTTATTTAGAAAGACTGATTTATTTCAGTCTTTCAAAGTGTGCAACCCTAACTACCTAAGGTCCTTGCTCTTGTCAAACTACATAAGAGAAAACAGACCCTCCCAAATAAAAAATCTGATATAGTTTTCTTCAGTGTGAAAGTCTATGCTGAGTACCTACAGTCAGTGTATGTGGACTAGCCCTGATTTTAGCTTCAGCAGCTGTGTTACTTACAGGGAAAAGGACAAGGGGCACTGTCAGGGTTACAGCCACCAGCACTGCCAAACGAACTGACAGCAAGAGTGTGTCAAAAGTGTACACTTTGGTGTATGTATGAAGTAGCTCATCTTCAACTTCTCCTACAGAAAGGAAACAGAAAGGAGTTAAATCACATAAGCAATATTGCACATACAAAGGGATCTTTATACTGCAGCCAGATAAGGTTAGCTTTGGCCAAGCTGCTCTCATAATACACGTTACTGGCTAGAAATGAAAGAGAAATTTTCCCAGCACAAGATACAAATCCATCCTTCAGAGACAATGAGAGCAATACAGCTCTGAGGTGATGCTTTGTACTCCAGCATCTCAAATGACTTTCTCAAAGTCATAAAGTGGGTGTGGAACATGAGGTAAAAATAATTTCTCTGATACAAAATAGGAAACAATTCAGTGAACAGCTCCCTTCAACCTCCACTGCTGTGCCCCAGCTCTCAGACAGAACCTTCTTGCCCCAGTGATAGAGAGCAGATTGTGCAGTGTCATTCACTTCTCTGCTGTAATGGAAGAGCTAATGAGGTAAAAAGAGGTGGCGTTTGCATAAAACTGTGGGCTAATACAGCCCACTCTGTTTACCTACTGGTTAGTCTAGCTCATCCATATTTTTTTTACACTAGAATGATTTGCACCTGTTTTTCAGCATAGGAGAAGCTGAATTAGTTGTGTCAGAGCCAGGGTGGACAGCACTTAATAGTGTCATGTAAAACTGTTGAGCAATAGAGTATTTTTAGTATGGTCACTCTTGGCCTTTACCAGAAGCCAAGTCTACAGCAGCTTGCTGTCTGAGTTCACAAAACCAAGACATATAAAACTGGTGCCCCTAGTAAGTGCCTCTGAGTTTCTCATGGATGAGGAACTTCTGGTCTGATAGCTGGATAAGTCCCGCCGCTTATTCATAGGATACATACTCATTTATCATAGGATACACTGTGTATTATATTTGAATAATGCTTACACTGGGATTCAGCCCTAGGTGTAATACATGAACACTTGAGCCTCAGTGTGGTAGAAACATCTTGTCTGCTTTAAAACGAGAGGGAAAATTCGGCCGAGAACAGGGCTTTGACCTACCGTAGAAGGTAAGGTATCCAAAGAGTGCAGCCAGAAGGTACATGATAAGCATGCCAGTGATGGAGATATTTGAGACATTCTGCATCCGTCTTCGGGAGCGACTGAAGTAGGAGAGAAAGAGAGTAACAGTGCTTAGAAAACCTCTATTTGTACAAAAAGTACTCTGAAGAGTCATAGCTCTACCGACATCCCCTCATTGGCTAGTAAGTTCATAGCAGCTACATTGATTACACAGAGCTCTTGAAGCTTCGCAGCTCTGTGCAGAACAGCACACACTTATGAAAGTGTGTTGAAACTCCATTTCTACTGCTTACTTAGTGATGACATATAAACATGACATGTTATTTTGTGTATCATTGTCTATATACTATCAGTCTCAAATGGTTTATTTTAAATAAAAACCAGAGTGGCTAAAATTACAGGGCCGGGAATAAAAATAGATTAGAGTTTTCAGTCATCTCTATATGAGCATACCCTTATATCTACATAGGTCTGTCCTGTGGGTTCAAGAATATCCTGCAGGTCAAATCCTTTCTTTGGAAATCCTTTGATTAAAGATTTGATGTAAGAAAATCTTCAGCTTATAGAACCTGGAAGCATGTTCCCAAGTAATCAGAGAATTTTTATTTCTTCTGAGGTTAAACCCACTGAAACAGGAGGTAGTGGGTCTTGGCCTCCTTGGGTTTTGCAACACAACCTCCTGTAACATAATTTTTGCTGTTGAACAGATGCATTCTCTTAGCCCTTTCCCACTGTCAACTGTGTGCTGATTTAAGCAAGTGTATTTGATAAGGAAAATAGGCTGACTATGTAAGACACCCAAACCACTGGCATCCCAAGAAACCTTAAGGGTAAGCAGCAGCTGACCCAGACACAGAATTTATTAAGATATTGTTAGAAACCAGAATTGTCTGTTTCAGTGCAACCAAGTTCCCCGGTATATTTCATATCTGAACAGTGGTCTTCTGTCACCAATATTAGGTCAAAGCAACACCAACTTCTGCTTACTATGGAAAGCAATAAATCACTAGCAGATGGGTGTCTACGCACCAGCAATCAATGCAGAACATATAGTGATCTCTGGCTAACTGCTTAACTGGTTAACTGGAAGAATGGGACAAAATTTAAGAACCTTACTCTTTCAGTTCACTGTATATTGGTAGCACCTCAGGGTGGCATACGAATGCAAATGCCAGGATGGGTATTGCATAGGCAGTCTGTAAAATAAAGCTTCCATTAGTAAGAATGGTCACTGCTATACCTCTGACTTTTGGCAGGCAGCAGTTTAGCTGTGGCATGAATGGCTAGAGAAAAATTCTACAGAATCTCCCTTACCCGTGAGTTGAACACAAAGTATTTTGGCTGACACATATCACTACTGTCGCTGTGTGCTTCATATTCCACACCACTTCTGGGAGAGGTATCTTTCGGCTCCTCAAGGCCTGGCAAGTGCCTAGCTGTGTTGTCCATCATGAAATTCACACCAGAACTGAAAGACTCATTTGGTAATACGATCAGGTGTGCTGGCACTGTGTTGTTGGTCGCAGTCCAGTTTCCAAGCCCATGGTCCATGATGGGGAGAGGACAAGGTATTTGGGATTTCTTGAAGATTACCTACGAAAGAGTTAGACAATGTCATCAGAAGAGTACCACTGTAAGAGATAACAGTTAGATCAAGGGTATGCCAAAAGAAATATAAACAGGCACACAGAAGAGAGAGCTGAAAGAGAAGGAGCAAGAAACCAAGTGCTACTACTTCTGCTTTGCCTGCAAATATTTGTTGTTTCTCTGCCTCTGCTGTTGGCCTGCTTTATTTCTTATTTTCAGGTGTTGCTTTTTAGCCTGAGCTTTTTAATTCTGGCTTTGTTCAGCAACAGGCTGGTTGATTTGATTCACTTGCAGGTGTTTTTCTAACATTCTCATTAAATTGTCATGGTAAGAGATAGAACAGCGTTGCAGTTTACAGGCTCTGTATTTGCTTAGAGACAATACCCAAACAGCCACCTACCACACAGACAAAGAAAACCATACAGGTCAGCGAAAAACCACTCGTATAACCAAGATAACCTGTGCAGCAAGAAAAACAAAAACCATTTCAGCTACATATAAACTTACAATCCTAACAGAAATAAGAAATAAGGTTAAGTGGGGCATTAAGCTTACCTAAACTCTTTAGAAGGGAGAGAGGAAGAATAACTGCAACTGTTACAAGTATGACGAGGTAGTTCCCATTTAGGTACCATTCACTAAAGAGGAGGAATAAAAAACACCAATCATTCCCACTGACATCAAAGTGAAAGATTTTCATCTGAGGTTCAGGCTGGGCAAAGGTACCTACCCAGAACTCTCCTCGAGTTTCATAAATGCTCTGATTACTTCAGGAAGTTCATATTTAATAATAAAGAGGTAACTTGACATTGCTGAAAAAAACCCAAACAAACACCTTCAGAGAAAACAGTGTAGTTCCAACAAAAATAATTTGTTCTAAGAAAACATGAATGCTGCATAAAAAATACATTGTTCTGGGAAATCAGTGTTTGATAAAATAGAGAAATGAGTTTTGTTCAAATAACAGTGTGACTAAATAGATAGTATGTTCCCTTGGTACTGTTATTACAGAATCGTTAGGGTTGGAAGGGACCTCTGGAGATCTTCTATTCCAACCCCCTTGCAGGTTCACCTACAGAACATTACACAGGAATGTGTCCAGGCGGGTTTTGAATGTCTCCAGAGAGGGAAACTCCATAACCTCTCTGTGCAGCCTGTTCCAGTGCTCTGCCACGCTCAGTGTAAAGAAGTTCATCATGTTGAGATGTTCTACTTTATGGCCACTACTCCTCATCCTGTCACTGGGCATCACTGAAAAGAGTCTGGGACCATCCTCTGGGCACCTCCCTTTGAAATATTTCTATGCATTAATGAGATGCCCTCTCAGTCTTCTGTAGATTAAACAGGCCCAGCTCCCACAGTCTTCTCATAAGAGAGATGCTCCAACCCCCTGATCCTTGTAGCCCTCCGCCGGACCCTTTCCAGTGGCTCCTTGTCTTTCCTGTACTGAGGAGCCCAGAACTGGACACAGTACTCCAGATGTGGCCTCACCAGGGTCGAGTAGAGGGGGAGGATGAGCTCCCTCAACCTGCTGGCCACATTCCTCCTAATGCACCGCAGGATACTATGGGCTCTCCTGGCTGCAAAGGCACATTGTCAGCTCACAGTCAACTTATCATCTACCAATACTCCCAGGTCTTTCTCAGATGAACTGCTCTCTATTAGGTCAACCTCCAACAAAGTTACAAGCATGTCCTAAATGACATCTAGCATTCATTATTACAATATAATACAGTTACTACTGACTTAACAACATGCTTAAATCACTGTTCTGATTAAACTTACACTCTTAACTTTTCCTTTCATTTTTCTGTGGCAAAAGTTTTTCAATGAACACTGTTCAGCTACATTCTGTAGTAACTTCAGTTGTTACTGCCTCTAAATTTCTTCACCTACCTTATTCTTTATTCCTTGTATTTTCAGCATCTCCCTTCCAATACTCTATATATTAAAAACTCAGCTAGTTGTTAAGAGCAATTGACTTCATCTACCTGGACTTGTGCAAAGC